GCTTCTGAAAGTGCAAATCCAGACCAAGATTTTGTTTTAACCAACCAGCTGAGTATAAATAGTTACAGTCACAGAGTACTCAACTGGTTGGTTGAAGCAAAATCTTGGTCTGGATTTGTACTTTCTGGACCTGAACTTTCCAAGTCTGGAGAACACAATCACAGAAAAATGGTACAATGGTACACGTATTTTCCAGAGAGTCACAATGGGAAGATGAGAACTTACAGCTTAACTGCTACTATATAGCATGAATTTATGAAAATAAATGTCCTTATTGATAGATATCTTATTCCAGGAAGAATGATTTTCAAACTGTTCTTTTAAATGTGGTGTTTTTGCTGGGATTCTGCACTAGTCAAGTGTGTCACCCTCCTGGTGTCATAAGCCCGTATCTGAAGACCTCATTTCCGCTGCAGACATCAGGCTTTGTTAAAACAATAAGAAAATATCTCATCTGCATTACATTGTTATGTACATACCATAGGAAAGTAAATGCATGTAAATGAATTCAACATCTTGGAATCGCTTTTGTCACGGAATACCAAATGTGCCACAACAAGAATATGACAGTAACCTCGAACAACATAACAACATGCCAGCCCATGCAGAAAGACGGGTAAGAAGATCGATGCTTCCAAAATAAGCTCAGATTAGAATTAGATTTTTTCCGTAAACCAGTGAAGCATTTAAGGTGTCAGCACAGAATGGAAACACAGTTTATGACATTCAAGTGACTGAGCAGTGGTATTTCCGTCTGGTGATATCGTGATATTGTAAGAGGTTATCCACAGAAAAGGGGGGGAGGGGGGGTGTCACTCACGGGCAGAGTCAGGCAATGACCAAACCTCATTCTAGCTATAGAAGCCCACAGTAAGGTTTGGGCATTTCAAGGCTTTTTCCGGTTATTTATTCTGGCATGATGAACTGGACTTATATTCTACGGACTGATCAGCAGCGGTTAGACTGCTGATCAGTGGAGAGAAACAGCATTTGGTGGTGATGGTAGAAAATAACCAAGTGATTGGGTCGGGAGCACAATCTGTTTTCAAGGAAACCGCGTCCTTTTCAGGGATGATGTCCTGTGACATCACAGGGCGGCTGTAGTCAGTCAGTATTTCTCCCAAAGTCCTAGGGGCTTTAAAAAAACACATGCGATGACACCAATCTATAAATGCTGCACAAAGCAAGAGGCTGGTGGAATTAATCTGTGCCCCAAATCCCTGACTTATCCCTCCCGAGAGAGGCTTCTCACCTCCTTCCACATCACCATTCTCTTCACATCCTCTCAGTAAGGGATGTTACAAGTCTGAGCGGGCTGCTCACATGCAGTCTTAGGGGGAAGATGCTATTTTTTGCTGTATTTTTGTTATATCCGAATATAATTACAGCAGAACTAGAGATTTATGTTTGTCTCGAGCATGTCACTCTGAGCTGACAGCCGCAGGGTAACACAGCAGCTCTTAGCGGAAGCAAATCCTTCCCCGAATTGTTTTTCCTGTCTGTCATTTCCTAAATATGCTTAAATAATTATAGGACAAAACGACAGCAGTGTGTGAACTGCTCCTCGCCTGCGCAAACGGCTCTGTGCCTCAGGAGAGCGTGACACGTGTGATCTTAGCTACCCTTAGTGCCAGAGTCTCTTCTTTGAGACGTCCGAGTAATGATTTGTTTTGACTGCCCCAGGACCAGTTTGACTTGGGTTCCATGCCCTTGTTATCCCGAATCGCACACCGTATTGCCAGGCGTGCGGCAGATTACTGAATCATAGCTCTGTTTAATCTTTGAGTAAATGTGAGTCTTTGAGTAACTTTGCTGAGTAACAGGTTTACTCACAGACTACTGGGACTGAATATTGGGACAGTTACACCAGGTAGCTGGTGGATAATTAGTGAAACAGGTGAATGTCTGAATGAATGTTTTGTGACTTGAGACAGGATGTTAGGTTGTCAGGATGTGCTGTGTATGGAAAAGTGGAAGTGGACCGGCAGGGGATCAATTTAATCATTTTTTAAATGATTCAGAACTAGCAGAAACTGTAGTGCGCAGGGCTGAAAAGAGTTTGGCCGTTTTGTGCTAGGAGCAATTTTAGTAATGTGAGCAATTTTAATAATGAAGGCAGCTCCGCTGAGTTCCACTGGACTGCGATTGTAAAGCATTTCTCTTGCCTGCTAAGTAGCGTTCCTTTTTCTGAGCGAACAGCTGCCAGACTTGGACAGCCATGTTCCATATGCCCTCATCAGGGACAGCCGTGTTCCGTATGCCCTCATCCGGGACAGCCGTGTTCCGTATGCACTCATCAGGGACATCCGTGTTCCGTATGCCCTCATCAGGGACAGCCGTGTTCCGTATGCCCTCATCCGGGACAGCCGTGTTCCGTATGCACTCATCAGGGACAGCCGTGTTCCGTATGCACTCATCAGGGACAGCCGTGTTCCGTATGCACTCATCAGGGACAGCCGTGTTCCGTATGCACTCATCAGGGACATCCGTGTTCCGTATGCCCTCATTCAGCATACGGGCTGCACATGCTTTGTAAATGAAGACCATGATGTAGTGGGCAGGGTTCAGCCTTAAAACCTTATGACAGACTTTGTATGAGCACTTTGGTTTGGCTGTTTCCTTCAGCTACCCTCATTCACATGAGCTGGCTGACTTCCCTGCCTGTAATTCTCTCAAATTCAATAAGTCAGACTGAGTGAGTGTTTCAGGCTGTGGCTTCACTTGTGACATTGTGACAAAGCTGTCCCTGTGGATCCAACAGCCTGGCAGTTACACACAAAGAGTAAAATCAGCATTTTGCATTCGTCCATTTTGGCTTATCCAGTTACGGTGGTCCTATTCCAGGAGCCAATCATCTGCTTTGTGTTAAAATTGTCTTTCTGTTAATTTCTCCTTCTTTACGAGCACTTTTTTAAGTCTAGCAGTTGCCCCTCTAGTTATTAGAAATACATTTCTGCTTCACTATATTCCAGCAATGTCTTTTCAACGTCTTGTTCTTTTGGTAAGAATTGTACGTATTTAATTTTCAGAATTTATCTAACATGGTCGCTGGGTCTGCACCCTCAGGGGTCTGCCAGTTTTACCCTTAGCTGTAGGTAATTGTACTTTTTAAGATACAGAAATGGACTCTGAGGATCATTTCTGTACCATTGATGGTACATTAATGCTGTTTGTACCTTTGGGATGTTCCTTAGAGTCCATTTCTGTACCTCAAAATTTACAGCCCCTATGAAAAGCAAAGGTACAAATTTTTACCCTTTTTTCTGAGAGTGTGTAGACCTAATCTATACTTTTAAAAATGTTTGTCCAATATCTTTGTTTAAGAGAGGCAGGATTTCGCATTACATCCTGTGTTTGGTGGCATTATGTCTGTTTTATACTGATGTACATTGTATCAGTTGTAAGTGGGTGTATGTACTTTGCATTTATAAAGAAGCGAGATTTGGAAATATCATGCCTTGAGTATTATTATCACCAGGAAAGAAAAGAGCAGCATGTGATTTTTGCACAAATTACCACACTTAGGGTGTGTTGTGTATTTTTATGATGTGTATTTGCGGTTGATGTTAAAGCATAGAATATGTGTACTGTCCCATGTTGAAAGCTAATGGGAGTTTTACTTACTCAAAAATGTTCTGAGGGCAGAAGGAACAATGATTGGTTCAGAGAGATAACCAATCAGATTGTTGAGGAGGTGGGTCCAAGCAACTAGCGGAGGCTGGACCAAGACATCTGATTGGTTGGTCCCACCTCCTTTATTTGCTTGCCCCCCCTTCTAAATCTGACTGTTTATCATTTTTCATTCTGCCCTCAGAACAAGTAAAACTCCCATGACCATCGACCAGACGAGGGGGTAGCTTGGTAGCTTGGTATCATCAAAAATGGGCATAAAATTTGTCATAAAATTTGTAAGGCAGGGTGGCATGGGGGGGGGGCACTCAGGTATCAGAAAGGAGGCACTTTCATTCGTTCATGCAAAAGGGGCAGATGCACCCACCAACCCTCCCCCCCCCCGCCAGCCCCCTTAGCATGTGCCAGTCAGACAGCCATTTCAAAGGCTCTGCAGCCTTTCCCTGCTAAACGACTCATTAACTGCTAGACCGTGCTTTCTGCAATTAGTCTGGATGTGACATTGCATTGGTTTCCTGCCTTTGCTACATTGTGTGCTTCACCGCGGCACTCGCTGTCAGTCATGTGGAGCAGAAACACCATGAAAGCGCCCTAATTATTTTCAGACAGAAGCTGATAATAGTTCTCTCATACTTCTTCAAGAGGTGTAACTTAAAAGGAAGCGTGTAATTATGAAAAAAAAAGAGTCTTCTCTGTAATTATGCAGTCTGTGTCCAGTCGCTAATGATTCATAAATGTGTCTAATTCCAGGACACTGTATTAAAAGCTTAGTTACTCAACAGTTTAGCTGCGGCCTGTAATATCTCAAAGGCGAGGAACACAGCCTCTAAAATCCATTTTAAATTTTATTGGAAAGTGCCGATTCAGAGCCTTTGAGACAGTAACTGTATGGTAATATTTTGGGACACATCTGATTTGAAAGGAGGAAGCTGCAGGTATAGGATGAGGACAAAAGGACACCGGTGATAGAATTGTTTTAATTGCTGTCTGTCACATAATCCAGCAAAATGCAAATGACTGTTCTTTGTTGCTTCTGAGGAAAATTTGCAAAGGACATTCCAGCTATTGAAGAGTGCTTATCAGGAAGGCAGGTTAGGGAATAGGAACCAGGGACAGCAGTATCTCATGCAAAGTAGAGTGTCTCTTGTTAAGTTGCTTTAGATATTACATAGTTTAATGCATATATTACATTATTTAAAATCGGCAAACAATGACAGTAATTCCTTGATTTGCCTTTTTTTCAAATTGCCATGCTATTCCACTTCTGTACTGCAAGCACAGTGCTTTATCTTTGAATTACACAGTCAGCTGTGTTAACACAGTCTTGCAGGGCCCTTGCAGCTTTAGTGACTCATTCTCTGCATTTTCAGGATGGCACAAGGCAGCGCAACGAGCGGAAGAAAACCGTCTCATTCAGCAGCATGCCCACAGAGAAGAAGATGAGCAGCGCCAATGACTGCATCAGCGCTATGGTGGAGGGCTCGGAGCTGAGGAAGGTGCGCTCCAACTCCCGCATTTACTGCCGCTTCTTCCTGCTCGAGGCCGACATGCAGTCGCTGAGGTGGGAGCCGTCGAAGAAGGAGTCCGACAAAGCAAGGATCGACATCCGGTCCGTAAAGGAGGTGCGGACGGGAAAGAACACGGACATTTTCAGGACGAACGGGCTGTATGAGCAGATTTCTGAGGACTGCGCCTTCTCGGTCATATATGGCGACAGCTATGAGTCGCTGGATTTGGTGGCGAACTCGGCAGATGTGGCGAATGTTTGGGTGACTGGGCTGCGCTACTTGGTGTCTTATGGGAAACACACGCTGAACGTGATTGACAGCAGCCGAGACAACTTGCGCTCATCTTGGCTCTCAGATCTCTTTTCAGAGGCTGACATAGAAGGAAAGAAGCAAATAGCTTTATGCACTGCTGTGTCGCTGATCCAAAACTTTAATCCTGGACTAAAAAATGGCAAAATAGAGCTCAGGTTCAAAGAGTTACACAAGACTCACAACAAAACAGGAGATGATGTCACCGTGGATGAGTTTATTGAAGTGTTTCATGACATTTGTACTAGACCAGAAATATACTTCCTTTTGGTACAGTTCTCCAGCAATAAGGAGTTCCTAGACACCAAAGACCTGATGATGTTTCTGGAGGCGGAGCAGGGGGTGGCCCAAGTAAGTGAAGAGACCAGTTTGGAGGTGATACAAAACTACGAAGCCTCCAGAGATGGACAGCTGAATGGGTGGCTTTCTCTGGATGGCTTCACAAATTACCTCCTGTCACCTGAGTGCCACATATTTGATCCTCAGCAGAAGACGGTGTGCCAGGACATGAACCAGCCCCTGTCTCACTACTACATTAACTCCTCCCATAACACCTACTTAATAGAGGATCAATTCCGAGGCCCTTCTGACATCACAGGGTACATCCGTGCCCTAAGAATGGGATGTCGGAGTGTGGAGTTGGACGTCTGGGATGGCCCAGATAATGAGCCAGTGGTATTCACAGGCCACACCATGACATCTCAGATTGCATTTCACAGCATCATCGATGTCATCAATAAGTATGGGTTTGTTGCTTCAGAGTATCCATTGATCCTTTGTTTGGAAAATCACTGTTCAATAGAGCAGCAGAAAGTTCTGTATCAGTACCTGAAGAAGATTCTGGGAGATAAGATTTACACTGACCTGCCCAAATCAGAGGATAGCTATTTGCCCTCGCCATATATGCTGAAGGGTAAAATTTTATTGAAGGCCAAGAAGGTACCGGCAAACTGCACAGGCCCCGAGGGTGATGTGACAGATGAGGACGAGGGCGCAGAAGTGTCCCGGAGGGTAAGGTGTGATTTGGGGGAAGAACATTGTATCACTCCCCTTCCAACGTTTCAGCTGTCCAGGGAACTGTCAGATTTAGTGACGTTATGTAAATCTGTTAGGTTCAAGGACTTCCAAACAACATTCCAGAATCAGAAGTTCTGGGAGATCTGTTCCTTTAATGAGGTCCTTGCCAACCGCTGTGCTAATGACAGTCCTGGAGACTTTGTGAACTATAACAAAAAGTTCCTGGCTCGAGTATATCCAAGCCCAATGAGAATTGACTCCAGCAACATGAACCCTCAGGACTTCTGGAAGTGTGGCTGTCAAATTGTGGCTATGAATTTCCAAACGCCTGGCTTGATGATGGACCTTAATAATGCTTGGTTTCGACAGAATGGGAATTGTGGTTATGTTCTGCGCCCAGCCATCATGAGAGAAGAGGTGTCGTACTTTAGCGGTAACGCTAAAGACTCTGTCCCAGGGGTGTCTCCACAGCTACTTCATCTTAAGATCATCAGCGGGCAGAATTTGCCTAAGCCCAAGGGCTCAGGTGCCAAAGGCGACATCGTTGATCCATACGTCTACGTAGAGGTCCACGGCATTCCAGCCGATTGTGCCGAGAAAAGAACTAAAACCGTCCACCAGAATGGGGACAACCCAATCTTTGATGAGAGCTTTGAGTTTCAAATAAAACTACCTGAGCTGGCGATGGTGCGTTTCGTAGTGCTTGATGACGACTACATTGGAGACGAGTTTATCGGCCAGTACGCTATCGCCTTTGAGTGCCTGCAGTCGGGCTTCCGGCACGTTCCGCTGCAGTCTCTGTCAGGGGATGTCCTTCCGCACTCTTGGCTGTTCGTCCACGTCGCCGTCACTAACCGGCGGGGCGGCGGGAAGCCACACAAGCGTGGCCTCTCTGTCCGCAAGAGCAAGCGGGGTCGTGAGTACGCTGCCATGAGGATACTGCTCATCAAGGCTGTGGACGAGGTCTTCAAGACTGCCACGCAGCCTCTGAGAGAGGCTACCGACCTGCGCGAGAACCTCCAGGTTAGGGCTCCGAACAAGCATTGTCTTAAAATTTCAGCATTAATCTTCACGCTTTATTTTGCTGCAACACGTGTATTTTTCGTACGTGATGCTACATTTCTTTCCTTTTTGGAGGGTTGTCTTCCCAGGGAGACAAAGCTCCATTTAGAAATGCACATGAACAGTGTTACCAGTCTCCCTTTGGCCTTGTGATTGTCAAGCTTGCAAGTACTGGAAGAATTTTGTACAGATGAACGGTGCCAGGGTGCTGCAGCTGTAAACCATAACAGCTTTCCGTGTGAAAGATTTTTGCTTGTTCTTTTTTCTCCTTCGTTGGCTGTACCGTTTAATATTTAAAATGGAACAAACTTGTATAACACACCCTTGTTTTTCTGCTGCAGCTCACGGTAGCAATAAAACTAAAAGCAGATTGCAATTTAAGGAATGGAGGACACCTCTGTCTCTGAAATGAGGAGCGAGGGAGTGAAAGCAGACAGAATAAAAGGAAAGAGTGTCAGTCCTTCTGTTGAGGAAAGCACTTAAATTAATATATGTTCGTAATTCATTTTGGCATTTTAATAGTCATTTAAATGCACTCAGAGTAAAGTGTATAATGCTTTATTGACAGTGTTTGGCAGAAAAAAACCATGAAATGTGGTGGCTTATTAGCAACGAAAAAGTCGCTAATGTAATTCTGTCCTACTCACTCAGCCTATCGCCCTAAACATATTTCATTACTGAGGTATAACTTTAAACACCTACAGTTGTCTAAAGAGAATTCCCAGTCATATTTTTGTGTATAAGGTATGTTAAGGTCTGGCAGTGTCTTGGTCATTCAGCCACTGTTATGCTTCTTACATTTAAATAATCCCTCAAATTCTTCACTTTTGAGTATTTCATGTGCAGCAATAAAAATTTAGACAGTAGGTCTTTAAAGACAGAAAAAGTAAGAGTGATTGATCCTGTTTTCCACCCAGTTTAGTTGAAGCTGAGGGTTATTAGAGAGCTAGATAATTGGACTCATTTCTGCGAGGAAGTTTGAAGACACCAAACGGCCTAATAAGGACAGTGATAGTGTCGCGTCACATGACCTGGCCACCTGACCTAACCACAGTAGAAATGGTTTTGAGGGAGTTTGACCAGAGAGAGAACAAAAAGCAGCCAATGAGAGCTCAGCATATATGTGGGACATTCTTCAGGACAGCTGGAAAAGCATCCCAGGAGACCACCTCATGGAACTGGGATAGATGAGACAGTAGGTCAGCCAGTCCCTAGGGCAATTGGGGTTAAGGGTCTTGCTCACTCTGTCGACCCAGGGATCTGAACTGGCAACCTTCTGAGTCCCAACCCATAGAGCTGCCTCCCAAGAAATTATTATTTTTTGCTTAAAACTTTTTTTGGTCGGTGCATAATTCCATAAATAAACCATACTTTTGACCTGTATTGTATATATCAGACATATAATTATGACACCCTTCAGTTTTTATTCATTGCTGACAAACCCAGAGCACATATTCACTGACCTGACCTGGGTCTCATCTTGGGCCGTTTACCACTGTATTTGTGAAACCCCCTCCCCCTAATTTTATCACCGAGATTTCAAAACACTGGCATAGCGTTGTTTGTGAAAATACAGTCAAAATACTATATACCATGGTATAATGATCCCCAAGCCCATCTGCACCTTTTTTAAAAAAATAAAAATATATATATATTAGGATCTGTTTATTCTCATCTCTAGAAAAGGCAACTGCGGCCTGACACAGCTTACCTCCTTCGCATGTGTTTGCCCTCGTACTGACAACGAAATGATACTTGTTTGTTTTTGTTTCTCCTTCTAATGTTCGTTTGACCCATCATTACTCCAGTTTTCCCTCATCTCATCCCACAAATCAACCGGTGGAAACAGTGCAGTCAGAAAATTCATAAACTGTGTTTTATTGGCCTGGAAAATGCGCAGAAATACATTAAGTAGAGAGCTCCTGAAAAAGCCATGTAATTCACCTTGGTCCAGCGGTCAATGTTACTCTAAGGTTACTGTCATTGTGCTTTAGTTTGTCGTATAAAATTATTCATAAATGAAGGCAGCTGAGTAATGTGAATGATGATTAATGAATCCAGCAGTAGTACGCACACTTTACGGAGACTCTAAGAACATAGTGTTCTTTGCGCGGACAGGAAGGGCAGCCCAATAAATACGAAGAATGGTCTTCATCTTGGAAACAGCTTTGTCTTTCAGCGTAATGCACTATTGCCAGGAAAGCCCTGTTAGAATTTGCTCCTCGCAAGCCAGCCCGAAAGTTAGAACACATCAGACGTTAAAATTACAGACAGACAGTAAACAACATTAACGGCTTGGCTGAAGCCTCTTCCTGAAGCTTATTGAATGTGATATAATGTGAATAAATGTTGAAAATCAGCACTTAAAATTGGAATCGGTCGTGACATGTCTGCGCACACATTTGCACGGTGCTGACTGAGAAGTGGATTCAGCTGCCTCACAGTTACTCCGTTTTGCATGTAGCGTTGATGGAATTAAACTTTGCAAAGTGCAAATTTTAAGGTCTATAAAACTGTTTTCTGGATGAGTTTGCTTGGTTACTGGTGTTTTAGCTGTGTAAAGGGTCATAGCACAATAAAATAACAAATTGTGATAGAAAAACTGCAACAGAATTTCCTCATCTGTCCTCTTGCTCCCCTTGTCTCTGTGTAGACTGCCATTGTGTCCTTCAAGGAGCTGTGTGGTCTGTCTGCGGTGGCCAACTTCATGCAGTGCATCCTTGCCCTTTCGTCCCTCTTCACGGGGGCGGAGAAAACCCCCCTCCTTCTGTTCAACCTGACGGAGCAGTACCCCACCATGGAGCCCCAGAGACCGCTGCCTGAAGTGATGAAGAAGGTGGTGGCCGCTTATGAAGCTGTAAGCTCCCGGGCGTTTTTCTCTGTCAAAAAGGGGACATCAAAATTTCAGCTTAATTTAGGCCGCTGGCTCGCCATGGCTTATGAATCCCATGGTTCTAAAGGCAACTGCAGCCATTTATGGTTTTGCTTCCTGTCACATGGGTTGTATTTTAGAAAGACGGCACTTTCAGAGCCAAGGGGAGTTCATTGTATTGAACTCATCAAGATGACAGACACCTAAAATTCGAAAGATTTTAATATTTAAGAAAATTGTTATCGGGGTACCAAACCAATTTTGTATGTCCATCTACCATTTTAAGTACTTTATGTCTGGGGGAACTATGAGTGCTATGAACAGGAAGATTATGAAGAGAAGATTTTGCCTCAGTGCTCTTTGTGTAGATGGTGTGGGGTATGAATCAGACGAGGCGTTATAGTGCAGCTGGATACTGTCTCCATGCAGCTGGGCCAGACTGCAGATTTGGTTCATTAGCAGAGCATGTGGGTCTGAGGGCTCAGCAGGTTCTTTATTACATCAGCATAGAACTCAGTCTTATTCATGTAATGTTTTCATAATGTGCCTCTACCTGGACTAATGACATACACCCACACTCACTGCAAATTAGTCCTGGAAGAACAGGCATGCTAGCTGACCACCATATGCATCTTAATGGGTAGAGTGCTGTAGTCATAGCTGGGGGGTAAAGGGTCGTGCATCTACCTGCACTGGAAAAGCGTCATCATCATTAAAGCCTGACGTTTGTACGAAACCGGCATGATCCCGACACACTTTTGGTTTGTCGTGCTGTGATCGTTCGGCGGAGTGCAGTGGAGGCAGGGAATGTGCAGTGGAGTGTCTGAATTACAGCCTGAGGGAAGCCGTCCGTTTAAGCTTCTGCTTCAGCTGGCAGTGGCTGCTGCTTTAATGAAAGCTCTCCCACCAGCTGCCCGTCTTCCACTGGCAGACTTTCATAGGGACACTTCATCTTCACCTGCACACACTTCATCTTCACCTGCACATTGGTATCTCCGGCTGTCACTATCAGTGCCCCCAAAGCCCCCACACTGTTGTGTGAGATCCTCTCCCCGCAGCCCTCGAGGAGGGAACTTGATTGGCCGCGTCTCTGCCTGATGACCCCCGCCCCCAGTTTGTGGTTTCTGGCCAGCTCTGTAAACCATCAAGTTTAGACGTCAGGAGACGAGGCTGAACGGTGGGTGGCTGGACAGCCCCAGAGAGCAGAGAGCAGGAATGATGGCTGATATCCCGGCTGACGGGCTTCCAGAAATAGCCTCATGTTTTTTACTTCGCGCTCGTACCGCAACATTTGTTATTCTCAATCCGGTGTTGTTTTTCGGTTATGGGGTCACATAAGAAACCAAGTATTCTTAGAACCGCTGACCTTGGCAGAACTGCTTTCATTTCGCAGTGAGACAGGGTTCTGATGACCGGGACTGAGGAGTTTCTATGAACTTCCAGTAGATCTTTCAGGCCTTGTGTAGCTCATGAAGAATTTACTTGCAAGCAGTAAGTGTATATAAACAAGGCATCTTCTTAGGAGTATATAGTAACCTTGATCCCATTCTGTGCAATCAGAGTTTTGTTCGTTTTGATCATATATTGCCCATGAATTTAGTGAATGTATTTCACTTCATGTGCATGGGGGACTAATGCACATCGGAATATTCCAGTTCGAACTGGAACTGGAATATGACTTTTACTTCAAAATGAAAAAAAAAACGTGGCATCTGTCTGAATATGAATTATCCAGTATTTTTGTACATTCAAAAGCTTGTAAAGAATAATATACAGGGAGGTTTTGAAGAAGCCCACCAGGACCCATCAGCAGGGGGCGCCAGCAGAAAGTTTTCAATCAGCATTATAGTGTTTATAGCTACTGCTTACCATGTGACCTGCCATGTGACCTGCCATGTGACCTGCCATGTGACCTGCCATGTGACCTGCCATGTGACCTGCCATGTGACCTGCCATGTGACCTGCCATGTGACTCCATGAATATTTTTGCTAGAGGTTTCCAAGGGGTGGCCGTGGTGGCCTCTGGCCGCCTCTTTGTCTCGCCATTGTCCTTTGTGATGCCAGTTCAAAGCTGTTGTAAACACTCCTGCTTTATCCTCTCACTTTGTCCTCTACAGGAGCAGTTGAATACACCTGTATACTTATTGTTGTGGAATCAAAATTAATATTAAGGTATCTTGGTGTCTAACGCCCTTGATATGTACATGGGGACTTTCTAAATACCATGAGCCAAAAGTTACGATGAGCCTGCAGTGGAGCCCTGCATGTGTCAGACAAAGCAAAGGTTCTGTTCTTTAAACTCCCCCTCCTCCCCCCTTCCCCCCTGTTTTTTTAGATGATACAGACAAGCAGGACTGTTACTGAGAAGTCAGATGCTGTGTGTGAGAAGATCCTACAGACGCAAACCAAAGGTGAGAGAAGGATTTTTCTGGACAGAGATCTGAAGTGCTGCTTCTTATGGATCCCTGAGATCCACCATGGCACTTGTATGTCATGAATGATCACCAGCTTTGAAAGGAAATAGTTAAAACAGAAAAGACAAGTAAAACAGAGGAAGTCAGCCAGCCTGTAAATACTGGACAATGCTCCATTGATCTCTTTTGGCTTGAGTTTCAGTTTAGGCTCTTTGCTTTCATTTGAGTGCCATGGAATGATTTGGGCTTAGCTATGGTCAGTGAGCATCAAACTGAGCATCAAACTGAGCATCAAACAAAGTCAGAGATGAAGTTCCCAGAAAATGCTACTTTTGTTATTGATTTACTGTAAAACACAGTTTCTTCGTGATGTGAGTTGACATCATATCAACAATGAAGCACAGAGATATGCTCATATAAATCAAATATTATAAATATGTTTTTCATTCTATATTTTATCATGAATGGTCATATTTATTTATGTTACAGTGCAGCACCTCTTGTGTTTCATGATTACTTCTGTAAATATCTGTAACATTTTAGTTTAAGGTCTGCTTTTTAGCTTTTAATAAACCATTGCTAATAAACCATTAATATATTTGGTAATATATTAGTAAAAAATACTTACAGTCAAATTTACAAATGTATTACATATCACATATAAGATATTTAATCCAGTCTGACAAATTTTTACTTAAGAGCTTGTAAATCACTTTTGTAAATACCAGGCGTAAGATATGACTGTAATATAGTTCTAAATTTGTTTGTGAATGAATCCACATATTAATATATTATCAAATGATGAGTAACCATTTATTAATAATTGAGGAGCAGACCTTAAACTAAAGAGCTACCTAAATATCTGTTTGACTGCTAAAGGAGGGAATTATGTTAAATCGAAACTTGATAACTAATATGTCGTCCAATATGGAAAACAAATTATTCAGGCTCAAGTTAATTGAGGTACACTCTCTGAGGGAGGGTGACATGAATGTAATATGCATTTAACTGGGGCAAAAAGACTGATCCTGGAAGATCATGAATGGAGAGAGTTAAACTATTTTTGCTCTCTGCAAATTAAACTCTTGACATGAAAGGCCAAGAAAATCACCCCTTTTTAACACATTCTGCATCTTAGCTGTATACAGTAACATGATTACACAGGGCACGCCATCGTTTCTTATCCTGAAATCTAGAGATACTTAGCACATCACATTCATAATGCATGCGCTGAATGCAGCATGGAGTGGGTATTTGCATAGATCTGTATGGCGAGCAAATACGGGTGCGAGAGAGTTTCGAAATTGCAGCGGAGAAGGAAGACTGAAAAATGACAGTGCGGTGGCATTGATTATGAACCAGATTTTCAAGAAATGCTAATAACTGGTCGTAAATAAGGTTTAGTGTTTGAGACAATGGCCCAGCAGTGGCACAAGTGATACATTGTGATACGTATGGCTGAGATGTGATACTAATGTGTTCATAATATAATGTGATGCAATTCAGTATTTTCCCTTGTAAACACAGCAGCAAATAATTTTCTGTGGAGCACACGATTCCCATAAGACTTGTTAACTTTTTTGATATGTGTCTATATATATGAGCCAAAATATACTAACATCAGCAAACACTTGCAAAATTCCTACCATGTGACCCCATGATAAAATTTATGAAGTCTAATGCTTGTAAGGCAGCCTTATAGCACTTTGTCGTTCTCCGTTTGCAGTGAGACTTCACAGATGTTTGTATGTTACTTTCACCTTCAGATCTATGTCCTGCGGGCTACATATGCTATCCCATTGTCACTGTGAGAGCATTTTATGAATTGTGTTTGTTCCAGCCATGTGTGAGATCTTTCACCAAAATCCCTCTGGTTTTAACATGTAAGTATGATATAAAAATCTTGATAGTTCATATAGGAATAGATCAAGAATGCTTGTCAAACTTCACACAAGATGCACGTGAACCTGCAGTTCGAATCGAAAGATTCTTTAGTTGGAAGGTTCAGTCAGTTACCGCAGTTTTGGAGATCCTGGGTCTTCATAGCACCCAGAAACATATGAAACTTCCTTAATAACTTCACATCTGCATTTCTGACTAACCAGTGACATGTAAATTGAAGGTGTTCTTTAGATTAGTCTTTGAACCTTTGCTCCTGAGCAGATCACGTTCGGTGTGGTTGCCAGTTCCTGGGTAGTTTTCCTGGGCACAGCAGGCCTGTTGGTGGGTAGGCCTTTGAAACATCTCCGCAGCACTCGGCCCACTTCAGGAGAGCTGCAGGGAAGCATGTTGACCGACTAGCCAGTGACACTGGCAGGGGGCGTGACAGCGCCCCCCCCCAGCATGGCAGGGGGAGTAGCACCCGGGTTGTTACATTAGCTTAAAAACAGTTATCATCAATGGCATAGGAGAGGGTTTGAAATTGGGGGGGTGGCATAATTTAAATACAAATTAAATATTGGGGGGGGGGGGAGTACACTCCCCGCCCTGTACTCTGTGCCCCTGGTTATCGGTCTGTGCTGCTTCATATTCTTAGAGTTTAGCATTTTCCACATACTATTATACCATTAACCAGTCAGTTATAATAGAGTAGCTGCCCACATGCTAATCAATTTGCACCGAAATTGCTTTAGAATTACTAATCAGAGACAGAAAAAATCATTTCTGATTATTGATAAGTCCATTTGATCTTTTTTCTAACCACTTATCCAGTACAGGGTTGCTGAGAATTCATAAGAAGCACCAACTCCCAAATAGTCATTATTTTTTAGTCCGGTCTTTGTTGGATACTAAATGGTTGTAGATTAAGATCAATCCATTTTGCATAGTTACTAATGCATTGCAGGATCTCAGTTCGCCTGGAGACCACGACAAGATTACCTGCCTACAATGCATTTCCCTTCTAGACAACTGCACAACAAATCTGAGATGTGGTTGATGGCAACAGATTAATACAAAATTGCTATGACAAACGGAATAAACTTCCCATAATTAAATGTACATCGTGAGTTTTCTTGCTATGATGAAAAGGATTAATTGTACTATTCTCCATACAAAATTTGAAATTTTGGCAGATTGTTGCATTATATTAGGTTGCACAGCAAATTAGGGTGGAAATGGTTTTTTATTTGTGAAAAATACACATTTTAACAATTTATCACAGTGCCATAAAAGCCTTCATACTTTTTTTGAGGAATTTAAATAGAATGTAATTGAACACAATGTAAAACATTATGTATAGCATAATATTGTGCAATCACAAGGCTTCTGTCATCTTCAAAACTCCAATCATATGAAACTCCCCCATTTTTCTCATACTATGCCCCATTTACCTGAATGTTTCCCAAGTTGCCAGAATGCCATGCGTTTAAAGAGTATTTTAAACCATGTCCTTATCATCTAAAGCAGCACCAAGAGCAAAGACTGTAGCCATAAACAAGTTGTTATATGATATAACTGTTGGCTTTAATTACCAAACTACCAAACTTGATATGTGTCAGACACAGAATTATGCGTACAGCCAGCGATATGAAAGCATTCATGGAGAAGAACAGAGAGATTGCTTTATTATCTTTACCCCAGAGAGGGTCATGGGTAGCTTGGGGCCTGTCCCCTCAGGATGGGGCAGAAGGCAGAGTTACCCTGAATGGACGCCCCCACCATTCACACCAAGCCCAGAAGTGTTGATGCTGTGACCCCAAAGCTTTATTTGTATCTTTATAATCAATCACCTTGGGTGCCAAAAGGTCCCCGTCTGGCGTTTTCACCGTTAGCTGTTTTATTGTCATTGCCAAATTGTGTTTTTATACGTACGATTCCCTTTCTTCTCCTAAAATTGCTTCTGTCATTCTCACCGCTGTCACATGATCAAAATCCTAGCACTGATAGTTTGTTTGAACCCATAATATCTCCAGTCTTGTATACCTCAGCACTTCTTATACATTCAACACGATTTTTATAATGTACAGTATGTGTTAAGTGGGGAGGAACAAGAAAACTGGGTCTTAATGATGCAAGTCTAAACATCTTGGAAGTAATTTCCTTACTGTCCCGACCTGATCGGCTGTAGGTCATGTCTGTAAGATTAGGCTGGTATTAATCACTGCACTTACAACATTAAATTGTATTCTAAAATGAGTCACCTTCAGCATGAAATGGGAGCTAATTCATTAGAGATAACTGCTTGCTGATACCAGAGCAAGAGACAGTAGAGTCGGAAATCCCATAATCCTAATTATGCTTGGCCAGTTTACAGGGGACACCTGATGGTTAATGCAGAGAGCCGGTGTCTTCAGGCAGTGAATCCTGGGGATGCAGGTGAATATATACACAGCACACAGGCATCGTGAAGAGGTTCGCTTACTGTTTGGACAAGCATTACAACGGCTAAGACGGCCAATCAAAGAGATGTGGACCGTGGTCCGATTGTCGATGTGGTATGTGGAGGTGCCAGCATCTCAGAAACAGCTTCCCTCCTGGGAGTTCCACGCGCTACAGTGTATAGAGCTCACAGAGAACGGTGCGATGAACAAAACACATCCTGTCCGAGGCATTGGTGTGATCATAAACACCTGTCTGATAAAGATCAGTTTTTTTGTTTCTTGATACGCTGATCGCTTCTATTCAAACAGCTGATCTCCTCCACAGGCACTGGATCTTTGCCTTAAACTGAATGCCTGGTACGCGTCCTTATAACAACAACTATTTTCTGTAACGATGACCATGGCAAAGTACTGTAGCATATTATACTGTACTTGCCAAGTGTTGAAGTGCAGAAGAGAGGATGTACTGTAATCCGTACCCCAGTCTGAGCTGGATTCACTGTTAGGGGATTGTGCACAGAATACACAGTGCATTTCTGCTGTAAAGGTGGGACCGTCTAGCTGTTAGGACATGTGTTTGGCTTCAAGGAAGACTGCAAAGAACCCAGCAGGGCCTCATGCTGTATGAGACAATAAAACGCATTTCTCTAACAGTTCCTTCCTGGGAGGATTCTGCTCTGCACCATCCCTGACTAACCGCTAGCTCTCCATCTGCTTGTTATCCTCTTTCTGCTACGTGTTAAGAAAGGATCTGTTGTTTACACACACTGCTTTAGCCTGACACTATTTTTACGAGTGATTCTTATGAGTTTAGTCAGGTTTAATTCTCTGTTTATCGATCTGTCCATTTATCCTTCCACAGATCCATTGTTTTTTTTTGTTCTTCCTATCTGTCATGGGTTGTTAATTCAGATTTGGGGGGATGTTTTTGGTTTGGTTTCCAGACCATGCTCAGCTCTGTGTTTGAATGGTGCATATCATGCATACCGTGAAGACCTCTCTTCAGTCACATAGGTGTTTCTATGTTCATAACATCACACTGTAATTTGCATTTATTAAATCAGCAGATATTGTTCTCAGAGATGGCCGATAGGTCAAAGGAAAGAGGCAGACTTGTCCTTCTTAGCCGGCTAGCGAAGGGTGTTCCAGCAATTTAAATTTCTATTTAATGTAATTTCCTTTTCCAGTTTGTGCAGAATGTATCACGCCTCTAGCCAGGGGCTGATAAGAAATCCCAGTTAATATAGTTATTGAGGCCAAACGTATGCAAGTTGACTCCATGACATCTGGTTATAGCAGCATTTGCTATGTGCAGGAAGGCTATACTGCAACTATGATGTCATAATTAGAGAAAAAAAATTGTTAAAGTAGAATGTATTGTTAGATTTGATATCATAGCTAAAATATATAGTTTCATAAGCAATGTTATGTTGCAAAATGAAAGCCACATTTTAACAACATTCTTAACCAAATTTGTTTATGATGCAGCTTAAATTCCGTTTCAAAGTCCTCTTCAAATACAAGTTTTGGATGCTGTTTTCCTCAGTCTACTTTACTGTCCAGCAGGTCTCAGTTATAACACAGTACCTTGACAGAAATGGTCTTTATTGACTGTTCTCCTTACAGATAATAGATAGAATCATCACACACTGGTAACGTGGACCATTTATCATTCCTGGTCTGGAGAATTGCTGTCAGGTGGCGCCTGAGTGTTTAAAGAAAGTTCCTGTATGTTGATTCAGACAGTCTGATATACTTTCTTGAAGCGATGGAGTTTCATGAGAAGCTGTACAGCTTGGGGGTTAAAGAAGGCCTCAAAGGAAGGAAACTGCAGAAGGCTGTGGAGAGCTTCACTTGGAACATCACCATCTTGAAGGTGAGGAAGTCTTGCTGGCAGTGAATAAAGGCTTGGGGGGGGGGGGGAGTTGGGGGGAGTGAGTTCTACACAACAGTAAATCAGAATTTATGATTTGTGCTCCATTCCATTCAAGAATTGGGATTTGAATTGAATTGAATTGAATTGGCCACACCCCACAGGATGTTGAATTGGAATTTGAATTGGAATAGCAAGAAGAAGGTAGTTAATTTCAGTTCAAAGAAACTCAATACAATCACACAACACAATTAATGATGTTAATGCAGCGGTTTCCCCTCATTTAACACACATGATTCAACTCCTCGTGCTAATTACAACACAGCTCTTGAGCTGAATCATTTGTGGTGGAACAGGGAAAGAACTAAGCTACACAGGGCTCCGGCCCCCCAGGACTGAAGTTTGACACCCCTGATCTAGGAAAAGCATCAGAAATTATAAGACAGATTTACGTTCTGGATGCTTTGCTGGTGAGTGTGCGTGGGTTGTCAGGTGGATACGGTCATTAGAGGGTTACTTGTACGGCTGTATGAAGTGCTAATCCACCATGGTAAACAAACTGATTTAAAAATGATTTATTCTATAGGTGACACCTGAAATACTGCATTCTTTCATTCTGAATAACGTGACACTTTTTATAACAATGACACAGCATATGCTGTGTATCTTAACATATTTGTGTATAATTCATATTGAAACATTAAACTGTATTGTTATAGCTTCACCTACAGTATGTGTATGAATTTATTTGAATTTAAATCCTTTTTAATTCGATGTCCTTAAATTCAAATTCAAATAGCAATTCTGCTATTTCAACCACAGTTCAAATTCAGTTCGAATGAATGAATTGTAAAAAAATATCCAGGCCATTTTCAATTCAGTTCTGAATGGTGCACAAGCCTGCTGTGGATGTACTGTAGCTGTGCCTATGTGGGCGGCTCTATCAGGAACATCTAGGATAAAACGCACCGATAGTGAAAATACACACTACAAGCTCAGACATGTGTCTTTCCCTCTTGTATACCGCCTGGCCCCATGGTGCGAATTTGACACAACTGGTTCATGTCTGACTAACAAGGCTGATGTGGCTGAAGATATGGCTGCTTGCCGGATACCATAGAGACCTGAGAAGGGAAGACACTAGATTTGTGTACACTTGTGTTTATTTGTTTGTTTAAATAATTGCGCTGTCTTGCATGACAAGATGACTTACTGAAGCAGTGCAGGAAAAGGCTTGGCTTTCATATGATCAAACAGAACAGCACTGGATGGCCGGTTACTTTGTGGACGGAAAGGCCAGCCTTGTGCCCACCCTTTCTGGGTGGGGTTTCGGGATCCACCATGACCCTGTCTTAAGGTGGCTTGGTGTGGAGGATGCAAGGGGGGTCAAAAAGACAGCTACATCATTTCCATACTTTATCCATTGGGGTGTAAGCAAATTATGCATTATGTTGTTACAGAGGCAAACTAGGTGGGTCATAATTTGCCAGAGATCGACTGCACGGCACTACGCTCTGAACCGCACTACGCTCTGAACCGCACTACGCTCTGAACCGCACTACGCTCTGAACCGCACTACGCTCTGAACCGCACTATGATCTGACTATAACCCTTCTGTTCCGTCCAGGGCCAGGCAGATCTTCTCAGGCATGCCAAAAGCGAGGTTACGGAGAACCTGAAGCAGATCCACTGTGCTGCATTGACCAGTAACCTGTGCGAGGGGGGTGCAGGGGGCAGAGCGGGGGGTGGGTCTGGGATCAGGCCCCGCCGCAGCCTGGAGGGCGCCTCGCCGAGGACAGCGACTCCAGATGAGCCAGCGGATGAGGAGACCTGAGGGGGGGGGGGGGTGGTCTGAAGATTCTATTCCCCACAGTCCCAAGGCAGCCTGCAGAACCACTGCAGAGAGGCCCACTGGACGGCTGTGGTCCACCAGAATGCTGAGTGACACTGGTCCCTGAATGCATTGGACTTTGAGTTGAATGTACAATGACAAGGAGTACGTAAGATGGAAAGAGTAAAGTCTTTTATGGTATATCACATCCGGGGTTTAACCCGACCTTGTTTGCAGACTCCCTGTCATCTTGACCAGGATGATCGGTTAGAACAGTGGGGTCAGACTCCAGTCCTGGGGGGCCGGAGCCCTGTGTAGCTTAGTTCTTTCCCTGTTCCATCACAAATGATTCCGCTTAAGAGCTGTGTGGTAATTAGCATGAGGAGGTGAATCAGATCTGTTACATGAGAGGAAACCCAAACATGTGCAGGGCTCCGGCCCCCCAGGACTGGAGCTTGACGCCCCTGGGTTAGAAGATGAATGGATGGGTAGATGGATGGATGGACAGATGGATGTGTGATATTGTGGAATTATCATTAATTGTTGTATTCGTCTATAGATGTTACGCAGTCCTTACATTGTGCTGTGATTTTATCTGCTGAAAGTACGGTCTCCACTGGCAAGTGGCACTTGCTCCATGTTCTTAAGTTCGTTGCATCTCGCACAGATTATGGTGATCTGTGGAGGGTGGTGAAATTCTCCAAAATTTCCCTTTGGATTCAGCCTCAGCCTCAGTGTCACGGGAGACTGTGAGTCTTTACTCATGGCATCTACAGAGTGCAGGAAGTAGCTACTCCATATGAGGAACAGCTTCTGAACAATTCCATGTATTATTATCTGCTAAGGCAGAGGTCCCCAGTCTTAGGTCAACGCAGGCCCAGACTGGCCGTCGGGGGGGACTGGGAGATATCCTGGCCAGCCATTGAGAGCAGAGCTTTAAATAATCAGATAGTCAAAGATACTAAATGTTTTAGTGCAAAATGTGAATCAGTTTTTACGTTCCTGCCCCATGCCTCTCAGTCCCTGGTAGATGAATAATGCACCATGTATAGTTTAGTTAAATAGCTATTTAATGAGTGTTAATTTACTTTATCTATTGACCTCAGCTCTGTAACATTTTTTTTTTTTTGGGTGCCATACATTGGAAAATAAAAATCTGTGTCCCGTTTTCATCCAGCATTGTTTTGTACACCCCCCGGATTCCTGGCCTCCCCGCTTCACCCAACCTCCCAGTCCAGCGCTGGGTCAGTGTCTGGTACACGCTGCTTCTCCAGCACCGTTCAGACCACTAACAATTTCTTTAGTTAAGGAAATACTTTATGTAACTGAGCACCTGATGAGGTGTTCAGTAGAATGTGAGCAGACTGGTTCACCGTGACCAGAGTGAGAGGAAAGCGAGTTAATGGATGCAGTGAAGGTGACTGGGCCTACAGGACTAAAACCAGTGACAGCCGGCTGAGTTTCACTTTTCATGCTGTTTCCGTTATGGTCTCTGCTGATGAACTGCTTTTCCCCTTCTGAGGTCACCGCTCGGCTAAGTCACCCCCATGCCGACATCACCGATCCCGGCCTTTGACGTTTGCGGAGGGGAATAAACAGACCATTTATTAGCCTCATGCAAAACATGTGATTATTTATTGCCAAAATGAAGCATTTATGCCACAGATAAGGAGACAATATGAATTTCCTGTTTTATTCTAGAACATTTCTTGTATTCTGTGAACATCTAAATTCCAATATGAAAAAGATAAATATGCACAAACCTCATTTATAGTGTTTGTTATTTATAAAATGTGCTATTCAATATAGAGAAACATATTTTTTATTTGAAAAGATAGGTTGTAATAATTGTAAGAAATGGCTGTCAGATCATAGAATATTAATATTGGGGTTTTATTGTATCTGATGTGCGGGGGCGTGATGGTACAGTGGTCAGCATTGTTGCCTCATACTGCTGGAGATCAGCGTTCCAGTGCCCCCCCCCCCCCCCCGGCTTCATGCTCTACATGTATGGAGTTTGCATGCTCGCCCCATGTCGCTGTGGGTTTCTCCGTTGTCTCCACAGCATGCAGAGATGAATCGTGCCAAATGGTCTGTCTGTGCCCTGAGGTAAGACGGTGCCGCACCCTGGCTTATTCCCTGCCTTGTGCATATTGACTCCATGACCCAGCACAGGACAAGCGGCTATGGATAACGAAGGAATGGACTAATGTGGATTTAGGAAAACCATACTATCATAATGAGAAAGTGTCACTATGAAATGTACAAAGTCAAAAAACATAAGCGTTATGTATTGTGTGATTATATAAACCTGACCGCGATGTGCAGGTGGGACAGGTTAGGGTTAGGTTTAGGGTTAGGGTTAGGCCTAACGGCCCTCTGAGCCTGCCCTCTGCTCGCACTCCTCCATCTGCTCTTCCTCATCTGTCCCCATTCAGTGTGACCCCACTGCATTCCTCTGAGGTCTGGCTCCGCTGCTGCCTAAAATGTAAAGTGAAAAAATGGTTGTGCAAAGATGCCTGCGATATTTGTGATTGTATCTGAATGGTAATACATTTGAGTACTTCATTTGTAATTGTATTTGAACAGTAATACATTTAAGTACTACATTCTTGCGAATTCCAGCTTATATATTCACCCCCCCATCCTCTCCAATGGACCTTCCAGTTTGGGCAACCAGTCAACCTCCAGAACCCCTCCAGTTTTTTGGGTTATATTGTTTTAATTGTCATTCTAGAACTTTCTGATGTTGTTTTTGTAGTTTAATCATTTGAAAGGATGATATTAATAAGGGCTGCACTGGCTTAATGCCCCATTCTGGGTCGTTCCCTGCCTTGAGCTCGTAGCCTCGAGGAAAGGCTCTGGACCCCTCGTGACATTGAATAGGATAAGCGGTTACAGAAGATGGATGGATGGATGGATGGATGGATATTAGTGAGAGCATATTATAAAAAATAATCTAATTGAATAGATTCTCCTTTTGCAGATGCTCTCTGCCCCCCAAACAAAGACCTCAAGTTTTGTTGTCTGTTCATTATTATACCAATAATGAGGCAGGATCAGAGGTGGATAGTTCAGGTCCAGAAAGTACAAATCCAGACCAGGATTTTGTTTAGACCAACCAGCTGAGTATCTGTGACTGTGACTCTCTATACTCAACTGACTGGTTGAAACAAAATCTTGGTCTTGATTTTTACGTTCTGGACCTGAACTATTCACCTCTGAGCAGGATGCAGCAGAGGAGATGAAAGCTCAGCTGTGCTAACTGAAGTTGAAATAAAATGTTTTTGGTTCATGTCCCTATTGAATATTACATCTCTGAATACAGAGCACGGAAAAAAAACACATGAAAGGTGCTTTGTATGAACTGAAATTAGATGTTTACAGGTAAAGCAATTCTGTTCTTTGGTTCTGGAATTTGTTTTTTTTTTCAAGGAAGCAGCACATTATTTCGATGAGGCATTTGGCCAACATGTTTTGACAGAACATTTTGTTAAATGTGCAGCTCAGAGGATTCAAGGAACGGCTTGGAGCAGATGCCATTCCAGTGGTCTGTCACTTCGCTCCAGCTGTCCTGCCACTCCGCTGTCAGACGCTTCCTCTGCGAACAAGCCCGCCAGGAAACTGACCCTTGAAAACCTGTCTCTCTTAAGCTGAGTTAGTGCAGTTCTCTCCACAGCTTTACTGCAGGAATCAGCACTGCAGAGGTGTGTGGTATAGCGGCATGGAAACGGCTCCTAGTCAGGTTAACTGGAAAACACTGCGCTCAATCAAAGAAGAAGCCAAGTGTTATTGAGGGCAAAGGTCACATGGACTGGGATTAAAAATAAACCCTTGACTTTTGACTCCCTGGTGAGGGTTCCATGATGGTTTTTGCTGAGCGATAAATTTTTCCAGTGGGGCCCACTGGACGGTCAGCCCATCGCTGGGTTTGTGTGATTTTCCTCTGACTGCAGCTGATGAAAGCTGAAGGGCTATAACAGCAGATAAAACCCATATTGTTTGATTTCCTGTTTGTTTTTATTAGTCTCAATTCCAATTTCAATTACTGAAAACTGACATGCTGCAAAAATTACCTCAGGTCCTGATAATTGGCGTCAAATTCAATAGATCAAGGTGCACATTCCTGCTTCAGGAGATCTGCCACCCTACAGAGCTTATGCTGCCTTGGGGTCCTACTCCGAAGATCCGACTAGGGAATTGGGAAATCGTAATGACGACATGAAGAGTGTTCAAGTGGTAAGTCGGAGTAAAATGGAGGCGATGAGAGCTACTTTTTGTTCTGCTATATTTTTCATTGCTCCAACGCCAAAACACATTTGTGGCGTTAATTGAACTTTTCGTAATCCTTTGCTCAAACAGCAGGTCGCTGGCCAGCTACATATCAAATACTGAGACAAAAAATGATCAATATTTTTCTCAGTACACCATTTAATAATCTCCTCATCATTCAGAACAATTCAGAGCTACATAAAACTTACTACTATAATTTGCCTTTCACGCTGGAGCTACCCCTGGCCTCTGCCATGATTGTTGTAGTGACACGGCCCCCCTGTGTGGGAACTTGGGGCTTAAAGTATATCCCACTGGTAAATACCGCTTTGTAGTGGCGTTTATGTGCTCTCATCGCGTGTTTACGATTTTCCCCACAACACTTGAAGGCAGGGTGAGGGTTAGGCAGCCCGAATTCAACACACCAGATACAAATAATCCGGTGCGTTAACGTATCTGACTCGGGTTCTGCGATGCTGCTGATGGGCCCGGTTATCAGGTGCGTTAACGTATCTGACTCGGGTTCTGCGATGCTGCTCATGGGCCCGGTTATCAGGTGCGTTAACGTATCTGACTCGGGTTCTGCGGTGCTGCTCATGGGCCTGGTTATCAGGTGCGTTAACGTATCTGACTCGGGTTCTGCGGTGCTGCTCATGGGCCTGGTTATCAGGTGCGTTAACGTATCTGACTCGGGTTCTGCGATGCTGCTCATGGGCCTGGTTATCAGGTGTGTTAAATTAGGGCTGCAGCTAAACACTGCAGGAGCAGGAACGAGCAGCACTGCAATAGATGGTTTGAGGCTGTAAAGAACATAACATAATGACGTAATTGTTTTCAGCTTTGATGCAGAATAATGGTCACCTAAACTCCCTCTGAGGTAACAGTATTAATGTCTGGTTACCTTTTTCAGTTGGATCTAATGTTTTCTGCCACTCACCAAACTGTATTTCCTCAAATAATCTGCTACTTGTTCACACCACATCATTTTGTAAGTATTTGATACTAATACACACTGAGCTGCTTGATTTTAATAGTTAATGTTTCTCTCCCATCTTTGTTAGCTACTCGCATGTCTCTAGCAAGACTATACTGCCCTCTTTTGTCCAGAATGACTGATTGTCAGTATAAAGGACGCTGCCAGGACGCTGTACTGAA